AAACGCTTGCGATAGCGGCTCAACCACATACGGGCGACCTTCTCGGTGCTTCGCACTGCCGTATATATTGAACACCTTCGTACGTTCAGCAACTATATGAGTAACCTAGTTTAGGATGCCAATTCCTAGTGTATCATTCTAGAGGAATTCCCCAAGTATACATCGGATTTTGCCTAATAGCAATTCCTCTTTAATTCCCCCAAGACCCCATAGTTAACTGCCTTGCTAAGGACTGTTTCACATTTGTATATTTCACTGCCTGGGTTGAGCAACAAGTAATTACTCAGCTGTGTTTCGTTGTTTTATAGACACGTACTTCCATACACTTAGAATTAGGTTGTTACATGATGACCATGCCGCTCCTAATCCACCCCTGATTCACTTGTGATACTGCGTCTGATTGTGTTGTGAATCTATTATAAAGGGTGCACAATTCCTTCGCCTTTTCTCCTTCAGCTGGACTACTCTATCCTCCACTTGAACCAACGAACCTTAGGCTGATCTAATTTAGAACTTCCGTTGATAGACAAATCGGTTATCTCAACCTAGGATGCAGCTTTTCAGAGGGTTGTAGCTATTTCCTGTCATTCGGCTGCCCTAACCCTGGGATAATCCTCACAAGTCACCACTCTACTCCTGTTGGAGGAATAAGCAATTCGACGTTGCTCTAGTGGCGTTCGTTGGGACAACACGATGCACATAAAATTTCTAGCATCTGTTAGTACACAGCGGTGGTCCGTTGATTGTCTATTCATGGATCACGTTAGTTCTCAGTAACTTCGGTTTATCATAAAGTTGAGGATTTAAGAGCTTATGAATTTAAACTCAGAGTAGATCAGAATCGCGAAGTGATCTCTCTCTTCTCGGTAATACACATCAAGTACTTACAGTTACAGGACTGAGAAAGGAAACAGTAGGCTGGTGAAGGCGGATGAGATATCGGTGCGGGAATCCCTTGCACCTGTGTTGCCAAGTACCTCGAACACACTGCCAGGCGTCTGTCAGGACGGAGGGCTGAGCATTACCCAGAGTCACTGCCGAGAGGCACGGCCAAAGGTATCGACAATTCCATCTCGGAACATCTGGTCCAAAATGGTCACCAACTTCTGAGCAAAGATGCCTTCAAGGTTTATTAGGCCGTACCGAAGCGATACCCGAAAGTCTGAGGAAACGCCTCTTGCAGACGGCCGAAGCGATTGTGGTCAGGCTAACGCAACCAGAGATATGCAAGCATAGGATGCTTGTGTAACCCTAGGCTTTGACATGACCTTGACGAGACACGGTTCCCCTAGAGTATTACCAACGACCGGACGCTTGTTTGCTTGTTATTAGTTAACATTTTATCTCTTATGTTAACCCAAGTTGTTTCCTTAAGTAAGTCTTTTAGTCCTCTCCTGACGTCCATTACTTGATTAGATCGATTTGAGCATCGAGCGAATGTGCTAAATCTCTTCAAACTATCTCATTTGCAGGCAGTTCTGCCTTCACCAGATAACCGTTACTTTTATCAACCTTGGAAAGGAAATTGCCTGACGTGAATCCCTGAAAAGAGATCTCTTTGCCACTCTGATCTCCTCTGTGTTGTTACTTTATCATGGGCATTATGTACAAGTTGTAGTTGGCTTGAAGCGTGAATATTGAACGAAGAAGTCAAAACGCTATGGATAACGAAATTTGTGGAGCCAGAGTTCGAATACCATTTGTCTTGCTGGTGGTAAGTGAGTAACAGCGAGGCAGCCCACCTGTAATGCACTCTGCGCCCAAATAACAAGACTTTCTCTGTGTGATCAAGTTGATGCGGCGCATACTCCGTGCATGAGGACTGATCGCAATGAGCATAGCTGGGCACCGAATTCAGATTTACGCCGGCATGTACAGCATCAATCAGGACCGTGGGTAAAATGCAAGCCAGAAACACATGCGTTATAAGAGCGGAGTGAAGGAAAAGGCCTACAACGACACCGAAATGCAGCTAATCTAGCTACCAACATAGAAGCGTTTTATAGGTTAAACTTCGAGTAGGAGAAGTGGAAAAGTATGCTGAATGAATGGGCACAACTGCAGACACAGACAATAGATGGGAGTTCCAACCTCCATTGTTAAAAAGCACGTTATGGTGCTGGCAGTACTGACTTCAGACGTTGTACTTTCTATGAGTTGCGTACTGGAAGGTGAGATGTTGCCCGGGTGGAAACATTCCAAGTGACAGCTAATAAATCCTGTGTCATACATAGTCACTGTTGTGAGAAGTTGTGGTTCCGGGGGCCAGCTCTGTCCTCTGTAACGCTTGTAAACTGGGCAAAAATGGGAACGAGTTGCGCCATCACCCCGTTAAGTGGTGATTCACGACGATCCGCCGTCGGCTGCCGCGACACAGTGGCATAAGCTGTTGGCTAGTGGCGCAAGCCACTAGTGCTCCTGGGGATGCACATCACTGATGAGTCGCAACAGAACAAAACGGTCTTGAATCTGCCAGACTGCCTGACGTGGAATAAAGTGCGATGAATCCTCGATCCATATATCCGTATCTTTGAGAAACTGCGGAACGATTTTTACGGCTTGTGTGGAGCCGAATTCGTGACAAATTCCAATGCCGTGCAAGGGCATCATCGCCGCTGGTACAGGCCGACGAAGGACGAAGATCACCGCACATTTGCTAGAGCCAGGCAAACGACCCTTGTCAAGCTTGGAATCGCCCGCTCATAATTCGAGCATATGCTCGAGCTAGGCATCCTTCGCCCTTTGAACAGCCTATGAGCTACCCGATTCACCTGGTGTCCAAGAAGTCAGAAAACTGGCCTCCAGATGGTGACCACGGCACGGCTTATGATGCATTCAGTGAAATGCAAGCAAAGATGCTGGATTAATGCATAGGTTGATGGATGCACCGATGCATGCAGTTGACTAATGCAGATTATCTAGGAGGAATGAGTTGTCTGACGGATATTAACGTTGTCGATATGATTTTATCAGGCTGGGCTGCGTGGGGAATGCAGATTATCACGATGCATAAGCGCTACATCTTATCCTTGTACGGGATATTGCAATAGAAAATTAGTTACGCAATATGTAGGTAAATGTCAGCCGTTAGTAGTTCATAACGCCATACTTGCGCCACCAGTGATGACTGTATGACAGTAGTTAGCCTTGAGGAAGATGGTCAAGGTAAAGAGTGCACCAAGTGGGTAGTTTGTTCGCTGGCTCCAACCCAGTGTTTTAGGATCACTGCATTAGGATGATGTCTAGCCAGTCTCGACCCATCTTCGTAATCTCGACGACTAACAGGCTTGCCTTAGTCACTGGAGACGGTTGTAGCCGACCATAAAAAAGGGCCAACTTAAAGACAAACATTAAGTGAGTGGAGACGGCCTGGTACTCCCCCGCTCGTAACCCTCAATGGCTGAACGATGTCGTTATCGCAAACAACACATAAGTGCTGTATATTAAACACAACAGGTGTCAGTGGACCACAGCAGATGAAACGTCAGGGCAATTACCGAATGGCGAACTGCACGACAAAAAAGCTATGCTGTCAGCCTAGCGGAATCACCGCCGCGTCATCTATTAGGAACTGCTACCTGACAATTACCCCAGTTACTACCGATGTCTACTGCCAGAAAATGCAAAAGATATTTCACGAACACCCATAAAAGCGTCCAAAACAGTTTGCATCCTTCTCTTCCATGACAATGCACGTTCTCTTGTGGCAAAGATGAGGGTTTCCAAGAATGAACAGCTCGGTCTAGAAGCTGTTATACATTACACATGCAGCCCAGACCTTGTCCCTTCTGACTATTACCTTTACCACTCGTTGTCAAATCACATCAAAGACAGGAAATTCGATGACCGTGATCAAATCAAAGCCTACTTTGCCAAAACTTTGGCAGCCGATCCGGCTCGTTCTATGAAAGTTGTATCGAGAGCTTGCCTAAGCGTTAGCAGTACTTCGTTCGTAACATTGGAAGTTACATTGATTAGGCATTGTCGCTTGTTTAGAATAAGTATTGTTTGAAAACATGTGCTAATAATTTCAAAGCCGTGGCCGGGTAGTGTGTGTGCATCCAACAAGGAAAATGAAATCGAGTAACTTTCAAATTGCTGGTGTGGTTAAACGGTTGAATGGTCGGTCAGTGAGAAGGCGTCAGAATCTATTCGCCCGCTGACGTACGACTGTGAGGATCCTCATGTGTAACTCGCCAATTTCGGTAAAATGAAGACCATGAGGATTTGCTTGAGTGTGAAAAAGTGGATCAAACTTCAATGTATGGGTACTAACCATTCAACAACCGGAACTTAAAGTTAGGCGGCCGAAAGCTGCAACGTCGATAAAACAGCCGTCCTACGGTTCGGATCTTCCCATAGCTATAAGATATTTGCACACTGAACGTATTCAACCAGCTGTTAGTTAGCTAATTTTTCCACGGTAAGGTGTCATTTTGGGAAACGTGTCAAAGCTGAAAAAGCACATCTGGAAGCCGGTGAATGACACAGTTCTCTCACCTGCTGCTTCCAGTCAGCGCAATTTGCTCAACCCTTCAGGTATCCAAATATGGTGAAGGGCGGAGATGTAACGCGAATCGATCAAGCGATTGTGCGCCAGAATTAGGAATGACGTCAGCTGATGTCTGTGACACGTTGCATTGGTGCATATAAATGTAGAAACCTTGTGTCTCACAAACAACCGAAGAGGTGACCAAACAGCTACTTGGAGGAATACACACACACGCACACACTCAAGTGCAGAAGAGCCAGGTAAGTAAGCATTTTAGGTTGCAAGTCTAACGGTAAACATCATAAGGCCAGCCGGTTAAGATATAGTGGTAAGCAACTAGCAGAAGATGTCTTTAGGATGACCGTCGTATTCATGAAAAAGAACGGAGGACTCGTTTGACAAAGCTTTGAGACGCAAAGATAAACATGAATGCTCTTGACGGCAGTTAGGCTGTAATTAATGCAGTGGGTCGTAGCATGCAAGGTCAAGAAAATGAAAACCAACTAACTTTAGTCCAGATCGTTCGTGGAATCCAGCGAACTGGTATTTCTCCGGAAAACAGTCCACGCCTTTTTGTATGTGCTCATCGATCAAGGCTCGATAATCGCTGCAGGGCACAAATCCTTGGAATCCGGAGGCTAATGATTCGTACTAAAACAAAATGAAAGGGTTACTGAGAGACCATCCGATGTCACTTTCGTGTTAAACTGTTAATCAGAATACACTATGTGAACCCACTACTATAATGGTTACTCCGTTTGACTTGGCAACTTGTTAACGCTCGGTGCGTAGTGGCTTCAGCGTTAGTGAACCGCGTACCTAAGCCCAAAGCGCGCATGGAAAACGGTCAGCAACACTATGACCTATGTTTGTACCTAGGAGCAAATACAGTCCTACGTTCTGATCAACGGATTTGACAAGCCTCAATGTTACGGATCGGCAAAAGCTTGAAGGCATTGTTAAGGGTCACTAGAAAAACCCCTGATCTCCATTGCGCTGGAGATGCACTTCGAATTCTAACTGAACAGTGGGCCTGCATCAAATTAAACAAACCCAAATTGAATCAAACTTACTATTGACTTTAACAGCAACGGGTTTTGGTAATAGATGATTCTCTTTACTGTTCGAACTACGGCTAGAAGGAGATGGCTGGATGATAACAAGCAAGTTCGTTGATTGTCAGATTTTACCGCACGCACTGTGAGTTTCGGATTGCGACACGCAAACGCAGTTGTGGCCTCTGTTGACTTTGAATACAGCACCTGCGAATCCGATTACTGGGACCGTATCTGAAATACTTCGTTCACTTTCGTAAAGCACGAAGATGCGATCGGTAATCTTTTAGGTGCATAAGTGGGATCGCTTGGTGTCTTTCGCCTTGTCAACTGCCGATGCACTCATAGCGGCGATCTCTTTCTCTCATGTGCCATGAGAATTTGAAGCAATTTAACACGTATGAGGCGACGAACGCGGAACACAATATAACCTGGCCAAATGTTTTTAATAAATGCATCGGGATTACCGGGTCACCTGGTCTCGCGATTCACCGAGTTCTATCGTCAAATACATCCGTCAGAGGCGACATTATTTTAGTACAGATAATAGTTGGATACCAAGTGTAAATTCATTAAAATTACTTCCATGACCGAAATGGTGAAAACTAATGGTGATAATCATACACTGAGACCGAAGATGAAGTTGGTAATGCAAATGTTGATATCCAGGCGACAAAAAGTTTCATTGATATAAATAATGATGCATTGGGAAATGTCTTTGCTGCTGCTGATGTAGAAGATGCGCGCGCAATTCTGAAGAATTGGTAAGGGAACCAATAAGCCGCATACTAACATGCACATCAACCGATTTCACGGATGTGCATATGCGAATTTTAATAGAGCAATCGAGACTTTTACTGCAAGCAGAGCACAAAAGTGGGCTTGTACATTTTGTACAAGTATTGTAACAATAGAAATACTTGCACTTACAGCAGCACTCCAAACTTAGATATTTGATTGATATTAAATTAAACGAAATATCTAAGGACTGTCCTCAATTGTGATGGTTTACGGATGCACAACTGCCAGGGAAGGGGACAAAAAGTCGTACGACTGCCCTTAGGGGCAAAAGTAGTTGCTACACCACTGAGGTCACGCGCACTACGAGGTGCATACATTCAAGTTAAGTCAAGCCAAGTCAAAACTTGCTTTATGCACCCTGCTACAATGAATGGGCAGCTACAACATACAGGATAACAGCAATGTATCAAATCAGTTACGAAACAAAAAAGCGGTTTGATAGTGAGTAAAAGGAGACGCCATTACTTTGTAAGTCGGCTCGTTAGGTCTGGAACGGCACACTCGGGGTCTAGTAGAAAGCGCAACAGTTACTGGATGGACCGACGAGCCACAAGCGTGTGTGCGAGCATTTACCTACATATACTTTTGCCTAGTAAATGAAGTTGACAAACCTTCGATAAAGTATTGTGAGGAGAATGACCTGTTCAGCCAGTAATTTTGACGCCAGATGCTTACAAGAACTGAGGTGAAGTGCCAGACCTGAGACGAATCTGCATTAGAAGGTGGATATACATCATTGAAGTGGTCGTTCCTTGCCTGCTTAGACGGTCGTTTATCGATCGGAAACTCGAAGTCACTGGCTCCCTACAGGAAGGAGAAAAGACCAGTTTCGGACGACCAGGGAGGAAGCTAGGTTGTATGGGCTAGTCACACCGTCCAATATAAAAGGCAACTCAAACATTCAGGAACGTTACATAAGAGTCATGTGGAAACGTCCCGAAGGGTCAACTTTGACCAATAAAGTAATGTCGATCTCCTGCCCATTGGCTATATGTTCGTCCAATCCATGCAAGAGAGTGGCGGCTCACCCGCTAAAATTCGACTCCGTATCGGTTATATGCGCCTCGGCTGCTTGCCTAGAGATTTCTTTCCTAACTTCCTCTTTTGAGTTGCGTTTTAGGATTTCAGCTTTGGGTTGACCTGCATGGATGACACGTATTTTTATCGGTGCTTCGGCCTCTGGGCTGTCAGGTTTCGGGCCGAATCAGGCGATTGATGTGTTGGGAGTTTCGGATTCAGCTGCGTCGCACAGTATGCCCAGAGTTAACCGCTGCGCGCGCTTGCTGTTGCAGTTGTCTGTCAGTGCCCGCCTCTAACAGCTGATTAGCGTGTCTCAATCGAATTGCCGTCCTAACCTGGATAGCGTAAATTAGGTTACTGCGCTTGTATTGCAAACGGCTAACAACCCATTCTGGATAGTGACTACGACAAGCGCTCGTCAGAACTTGTTGGTCAACATGAAAGAGTCGCCTGTGAGCACCGTGTCGTATATTTACTTAAAGTTATATCTGAAGAATGCGGAATTGTAATTTCTCCTTCCCGGGTATGGGCGTAACACGCGGTACATAGATTTTCTTCTGAAACTGGGCTTCAGCCGGGGATAATGCGTTCGGCGTCTGCAGATTAGGAGTTATGCGATAAATCAGAAGAAATGTGTCAAAAAGTTCCGCTCAAGTGCCTTCTCCCTTCCTTTACATCAAGTATCTTTTGGCTGCATCAATAAAGCCTTGTTTTGGAAAGTTTGCTTGTCGATGAAAAGATGGAGACCTTATGCGCACGATCGCGTTTCTGGGACAGAAGGCAACAAATTCGGATAAGGTTAACTGAGTACCTTTGCTGTAAACCAAAGTAGGGGGAACATCGAAAAGAGAAATTTTCTGTCGAATTAGGAAGACAGTGGCACCTACAGTAGTTTCATTAATGAAATCCCCTTGGGCTATTTACTCTGGGCATCGATAAGGATGAGAAAATAATGACCGTTAATTGCACCCGCATAGTCATTGTTTAATCTGGATCAAGGTTCCGTAGGTATTAGCCAGGATTGCAATTCAGTCTTCTTGGGCACATCGGGGAAAATGCTTCGTTAGCTTTTCTATATGGGAATCCATATAGGGCCAGTACACATAGCTTCGTACCAGCGATTTTGTACGGTTCTTTTCTGGGTGGCCAGTATGAGATTGTCGGAGGACTGTCTCTTGTAGGATGACAGGAATGAAGACACGATCTGAGAACAGTAGACAATTGTTGGTGACTAATATTGCTTCCTTCCGTTGGTAGAATTGTTAAATCGCCGGCCTTGTAACTTTCTTAGGCCAGCCATTAAGTTGGAAATTGATCACTCGTTGTAGGGTAAAATCATGACGAGTCGCTTCGTGAACCATATCGAAGTTTACTGGTAAGACACCGCAAACTTCGGATACAACTTGATTTATCTGTGCTTCCACGGTGGTTTATGCAACAACCAAATCTCCTGGTTCCTGACACTGTGTACTAACCAAACGAGATAATACGTCTGCCTGGCCGATGTTGTGTGTAGATTGATAGTTGATGACGAAATCGTAGCCAATTAGTACTGTTGCCCAATGTTGGAGAAGACTAGCCGTACAGACCTGGATGCGTTTCGTTGATCAAACGATTGCAACCAAGTGTAGATAGTCTGAGAGCAATGTGAATTTTCTTCTATATGGCATTTTGTAAAATCAGTTGAGTGCAAACACTATAGCCAAAGCTTCTTTCCCGATCTGCCCATAGTTGCGTCCCGCTTTCTTCAAATAATCTGGGGAAAATGTGGGATATGACGGCTCTGATTCCATATTCTGACATGACAGTAGTAACTCTTATCTCCAGCTCCGGATTAAATTGTGTTAGCAATAGATTGCAACACAATGGAAACTTGACATCTTCAAATGCAGTTTGACATCCAGGTGACCATACCCATTTGCGATCCAACACCAGAAGATTAGTTAGTGGTCTTCGTAATCGATGCATTTCGAGCACAACTGAGCTGTAGTAACTGATCAAAAGTAACGTTGCTCTGAGCTTTGCTACATTGTCAAGAAGTGGCATCCATTTAATGGCCCAAATGTTGGAAGGATCCGGACGACGGCCATGCTTATCGATGATGATGAAGCCAAGAAGGACACTTTACACAATTCACGCCGATATTACACTTTGCCGCTTTCAAGTGAACCCCGTATTCACTATTAAAGTCTTGCGCTTCTTCCAGTCTTTCCACCAGCTCTCGGTGGATTGATTCTTTGACAGTAATGTTATCCAAATAAGCGGCAACCTCCGCTAACCCAGCTTACATCGTATCCATAATTTGTTGAAGGAGCTAGCGAGCTTAGTTGACACCAAATAGCAAGCGATTGAAATGGTAAAGGCTGCGGTGCGTATTGATCGTCAGCAACTACCTTGGAGCCTCGTGAAATATAATTTGAAAATAAGCATCGGATAAGTCCAGCTTTACGAAGTAAGCACCATCACTAAGCTTGGCAAATAAATCTGCTAGAACCGGCAATGGGCAGTGGTTCAGTTTCAAAGCAGCATTCAATCCCGTAGAGTAGTCAACACAGATTCAAACACTTCTATTTTCTTCTTGATGACAGCAACAGGTGCTGCCAATGCTGTGTGGTTTATAGGTTAGATGAGGCCAGCTTGTTGCGAGCGATCGAGTTCGACGTCAACAATTAGAAGAGCATCGTATGGTACCCGTTTGTCGGTTCGGAAGACCGGCCTGTCGCCGGCCAGGAGGCTAGGGAATTGCTTGGGTTCTTTTGAATCTCCCGAACTGTTCCGAAACACTGACGGTAATTTCCTTCGTACCTGCTCGATCGGTTTATCATTTGTTTCATCCACGTCCGAAGGGGAACCCGTATGTCTGTGCTGGAGGTTGTTATGGACTTGACTTAATGGAATTTGGAACCGGTGGAGCTTCTGGATTCCATCAAGTCTAAGCAGATTTAAATGTGACAGCCCCGTGGTGTATACGATGCCGTTTGGATGAACAGAGCCAGAACTCATTCCGCCGTGTAGCTCATCAGTGAGATTAAGTTGATCACCAGAAGCATTAAATGTAAGTAGTTCCGTTTGGCTAACGTATGGAGCCCAGATATGATGCCAGGTTTTGTGAGAAAGAATTATTATAGCCGAGACTGTATTCAACTAAGTACGTACTTGATATCAATTTAGGCGGACTCTGATGTATTTCCGGCGAGTCGCATGTTAACCAGAGTAAGCCGCTTGAAATATATTATAGCTGTTGAATCCTTTGTGAACATTAGAATACGGTCGCGTGTATCCAGCACGTTTGAATAGCAGTCCAACTCGACTGTGTCTTTTGTTGCGGCCCTGTTTACGGTCATTTTGGTAACCGTGTTTCAGGAATGGACATACTGGAACCAAATGCTATTCACCACATTTTCAACCAGCAGGCGGGTATTTTGGACTATTTCTGGGCTTTTCATGACCAGTTTCACTCGGAAGCGGTTTCTTTGAAGTGATATTCAATACACTAAGACTGAGAATTGCATGGTGCTTCTCTACTATAAGCACGGCGTGCTCGAGGTTAAGCAACCTCTGACACAAAGCAGTTATGGTATGAAGAGTCGTTTGTCGGTCTTGTTCAAGTTTACTCAGCAGCTTGGTGCGAATCTCTGCATCCCGTGTGGAATGTAGGCCACAGATAAATGTCGAACACTTGGACTGATCACGCATGCTGGATTTGAAGTTACATATCTCATACTGGTGCTTGACGATTCTGGCGTAAGTGACGTAGCCGTCAGCGTCCATTCTGATGATTTTCAGACATTGATATCGCTTGTTGGAAATGAATGGCTGTTCTTCGCATATTTGGCACAAGTACTCAACCGTCTCATTAAAAGTACAAGCTGGAGCATTCGTTGGCAAGATAAAATAGATATATCTGGAATGTTTTGCTGTTCTAAATTTCCTTAACAGTACTTGGATTTTACATCCCTCGTCATGGTCCTTAAGTTCCAGGCGGAAAACATCTTCGTAAAGCTTGAACCAGGAATAAAAGGTGCTGTCAGCATCAGAGTCGTACGAAAAATCGGTGATACTCTTAGTGATGGCGTCTACCGATGCGGACGCATAGACGATCGTAGACTGTGAACCGGTCTGGATTGAAAGTTGATGGGTAAAATATTCTATCAGCCTGGGTTGGGATATCACAACTTATGCTTGTTGCCGCTGTAGAATGACCCTGAGATTGTCCGTCGATAAGGACATTCTTATTAGGATTCACTCCGACGCCACCTGAAGTGATCCACGCTCGCCTGGTTATATTGTTGGATGTCGACTGGAAACTCGTGGTCACTGGCCCTCCAGAGGAAAGAGAAAAGACCGCTTTCAGATGAGCACATGAAACGAGGTTGTATTACCTATTCATACTGTAAAATCGAACAATCAGAGTAGTTACATAAAGCTCACATGGAAACGTCTGGAAGGATCAGCTCATGACCAACCAAGCAATAAGCTTTCATGCTAATTGGTCGGTTCCCCCTATTGGCTATATGTTCGTCCAATCCATTCCGAGTAGTGATGGTTCAGCGGCCAAGCTTTGACTCCGTATCGGTGATCGGCGCCTCGGCAGTTCACTTCGATTTCCTTCCTAACAATCACTGCTCTGTCTTTCGTCTCAGTTAGCGCATACACAATTTTCCCCTTGACAGTGGAACCGAAATTTCGTAGTGTAGCACTTGTTCGTCAGCGAGGTAGCTATCCTACTCCCAGGGCTAATCATAATTTAGTAGATGTGAGGACACTGTAGTTTGAATGAAACTGACCAATACGACGTAAGCAGAGGGTGACTGATAACACCGCCGATTTGAGCTGACAACAATTGTGTGGGCGTGAGGGACGAAGTACAATTGGTTGTCTATACCCTCACTCAATTCGTTGCATTGTTCCCCCAAATGTTGCATCGGTGACGCTTGAAGCTGCATCGCGTGCGATCACGTGATCTCACGTCGCGAACACAGTCCATGAGTATGCCTCAGGCGAGTGCACACTTGCAACGTGTCACATGACGCACGCGATGCAGCTTCAAGCGTCACGGTTGCAAACATCGAAGAAATAGTGCAACGAATTGAGTAGTGTAGAGCGGGAGTCACTAAACTTTTTCGCGGCCGGTCGGATAGCTATAAACAATGACTTGCGCTGGCCTAATCACTGGAAAATTCATTAACGCGGATCGGATAACTAATAAAATGGTCAACGTAGATCGCATAGTCATTACCTACTACTTGGGAGTCAGAACGGGAACTATGGGGAAAAAGGCAACGATAATGCAACCCACGGTGTCCGCTTTATTTCTTAGTAACTTTCGTACGGGCTGAAACAAATGGGATCGAAACTAGAAAAACAAAGAATTAAAACACAATAAAAGTTCAAATGAAACATTGGGAAAATAGAGGTGTGGCCATTGGTGGAACATGCATTTAGCGATACTACAATAGATAAAACTTAAGCATTTATAGTTCCAGCGCGATTCCGTACTATCAATTTGCAGTTTGCTCCAATTATAGCTCCAAAATGACACATGTATAAACCAGAGGCGTTTTATTTGAATCGTGCTTCAAGTGAGCGGACCAACCCTAATATTGTGGCACGGTGTGAGGTACACGGAAACACGGTAGGTTGCATAAATGAATGGGTTTCACGATTGCTCACTTACATCAATGTTCCAACAATGTTGGGTCATTAATAGTACGTTAGTACGGTCTCACAATTAATAATCCTATCTCACGCGAGTGTCCAAACAATTTAAGTTTACTGACGATGCGACATGCAGTATCAAATGCAAAATTTATCACATTGTTTTGTATTCCCTGCAATGTAGCAAGCAGATTCGGGTACGGCGGCCTGGCCGGATGAAAAAATTCCTCGAGCCGGGTTCGGCCCGCTGGCCGTAGTTTGGTGAACTCTGGTCTAGCGTAAACGAAGAGCGGCGTAGTTATGGGCACGTGCGAGGTGGACTACCTCGGACAATTGGGAGAGTGTGCAAGCCAACGATTGCAGATTAACAAAATGGGAGACCATGGCGGGCGGTCGACAGAGAAAATAGTGGCGGCAGGTAACTAGTGCGCAGAAAGCGGGTCAATTGTCAACGATCCGCGTTGAACATGGCCGCGCGGGCAGGGCGGATAATCGAGAATTGCAAAGAGTACGCATGATTGATATTCAACATGACTCAGGACAAAGTAGGTGGGTTGGCCGGAGCACAACAGTACAATAAAGCGTGCGGACCAATGGACATCGAGGGACAGCCATGGGCTGGAGCATGAGAAGTAACCAGTGAGAAGCTATCACAATTGAATAGCGTTCGAAGGTTCTGCACTTGACGAATAATGGATTTTGCTCACCGCCCAAAATTCGATGTCCACCTGTTGGTGATGTGGCTGACCGAACCATTCGAGTAGTATCACAAATTATGATGTTGGCATTTAAATAAATATATAAATGGTACATTCATCGATGGTGCGATGCACAGTCCGACCGAGTGATCTGATCAATGCATGAAACGAAGCATGAAGCGAATCGGATACATTTATTTTCCCTTGACTGACTGAACCGAATGGAACGCATGTGGCATATTGAGTAACAGTGATAAACTTCGACCAGCTCGAGATGCCATGGGTCGACGTGAGTCCCACTTACCTGGTTGATCATAGCCAATCGCGTGGAGTGAATGTGATTGAACAGTTCGGCCAGGGAGTCCTTGACCACCTCGTCACTCTTCATGATAGTCAATCGAATATCGCAGATGATTTCCATCTGAAATGGAAGAGAGAGGAGCAAATGTTGAGAAATCTGGTGTTGTGACAGATGTGTAACCAGAAGATCATTGTAAAATTGCGCTCCGCAGGATTTACTCACCAATCACCACAACGTTTCAGATAAAAATGGACTATATGGTAGCGCCGAATTACTTCATGGAGGTCGACGAAAAGTGTTAGTAGTTACTTAAATGCTGTGACCAGTTCACTCACCTTCATGAACCGTGCTCGGTTTCTCTGCGCCACGAGAAATATACCTTATTATTATGTAGGATTTATGGCCTACGGTCCCTTGAGATTCCTGATTATCAGTAGTATATCTCACCGGATAAGTACCAGGAAATCCTTGAGGACAATGTGCAATGGGTCTAAACAGTCGAGGTCAGTGACAGTGTTCCTCCATAGGAGCCTGACTTTTTGAGTAAGGAGATCCATGCTTAAGGATGAGCAACTTGCCTCAACCAGTTTGAACAACATTGATATTATAAGCCAGTGAACATACTCCGCTCTAATCACGTCGCTGTGCTAGGATGTGGATCGGCCAGAAGGATTGCTCAGTTAGGTTAATTGCAGCCGCGATCACATCTAGGTTTGACAAGTACAGTGGACGTTATTTTCAGGATTGTACATTCTACCCACGAGACTGTCAGTCTACTGCATTCTGGGTGTCGTAATCACATTTTATAATCCCATATATCTCTCAAGCAAAACAGCGTTTCACGGTTTGCTATCAAATAGCTCACCATAGTAGTCCACCACCATATGACGTAGCCGTCACTATCAACTATTTTCGCGTTCCACTCAGCTATTGCTTTTTCGCAGATAGCTCAAGGCTATCAAGGCTATCAGTCTCTCATGTAATGTTTTTACGTTTTTATTTGAGCTGGACAGATTTCTTTACCTCATGCTTACTGCTGGAAAGGCATTGTTGCTATGGTAAGGCTGGAGAAACCTCAGAGCAGTACGCTAAACAGCATTAGCCCCGTTGCTGCTAAAGAACTAGCTGCAAACTAGACAGCACCCATGAGAAATCTCATGACTTTATCATATTGTGTACAATTCACGGCTTTGTTCATAGAGTGGAATCTCTACTGAAACCCGACTTTCTGAGGGACATCGAGCTTACTTAGGTAGCCAACAGCTTTGTCCAGCTATTTAAACGAAGGACTGGATTCCAGAATAGTGGTAACACGTCTGTTTCGATGTCTGGATTGGTTATTGGGAACTGTTTTAATCAGTACATCTTTACATCCGTACATCTTTTTAATGTCACCAAGCTTGCGCGCTGACAGAACTGCATTCTGACGATATATTAGAGAAAATAAACGTAATTTTTACAGTGAGGAAAGTCCCCTCAGCTAAGTAAAGCAATCTTTCAAAAGTGGCCTTAATGAAAGTACTTTAGTGCTAATGAAATATGGTGGCCCTGATGTCGGTACTTTGTTGCAGAACAGGTTCACTCTGTCAAAAAAGTCTTGGTCCCCTTCTTCTCAATGGAAACACTATGAAGTACTTCAGCTTTATAAGGACCCTTCAAAAAACAAATTGCTGAAAGATCCCTAAATCTGTTTCATTTCCACCCAGTTTAAAGCTACAGAAAATATGTTGAAGTGAATGATTGTATATATATATATATATATATATATATATATATATATATATATATACGCAGAGTACGTGAGCCATAAAGCACGACAGTATGTATAGCAAATAATACGGGTATGTCAAATGCAGGACACACTACAAAGTCATAACATTCTCATTGACGTGAAAACGATGGTGATGCACAAACAATACAGTGCGTTACGGATCACGGTTACGCAATCCGTAATCATGTACACATTGTCTGTGCAAATGTTGCTAAGATGTTTTAATCTATAGAGAGCAATGGCGATCAGTTTGTTCAGGGTGTGAGTGGGTTCAATAGATGAGTTGGCAGATGCAGATGACCCGAAAGGCTCCAATAGGCTTACACTGGTCCGATCTTTGGGTTTGTTTACATCCTTGGTTCTGTCATGAGTGTCACTGGGAACATATGTTTGATCCCCACGAGGAGCCAAATGCTGCAAGGAGACGGTATCCTCACGTTCGGAAGGTAATCGCACAACTGCATAAACCGGATTAGACTGTATATCTTTTCTCAATTCGTTGCGTCGTTCCCCTCACTTTTTGCATCGGTCACGCTTCCAGCTGCACCGCATGCGTCATGTGACACGTTGCACGTGTTGTACGTAGTATGGCCCACTGTTGTCTGTGCATCACCATCATTATACATGCCAGCTAGAGGTGGGGAAACACCTCCGCTATTGTACCGCAATACAAAGGAAATACATACATACAATACATAAGGGAAAAATAAATACGACAGTTGCATGCCAGCTGAGCTACCAGCAACGGATAGGCATCGTACCGGTAAGCTACCAGCCAGCTACTAGGCAAAAAGAAAAATTGTTTATTATGTTTTACCCTACGAAATGAGATCGTAAATGGAGGGGGAGGCTAAAAGGGATGGGGAGGACAAAGAAACTCACAGCACGAACGCCACTGAGGTCGGCTCTTTGCCATGTCAGCAAGTGTATCCAGCGAAACGTGTTCACCGTCTTTTGGACCCCAACCAAGTAGCCGTGAAGCTCCAACCGAGACTAGCTCCGAAGTGAGGGACTTCATTCCTCTGGACCAAGTCATCGCTTGGCCACCTCTCCTCTTCTTCCATCCACACCCCCGGCGCGCAAACAGCGCACGTAGAGGGAGTCGGTGGGATGGCATGCGCAACACGTGGCCTGGTGCGGGAAATAACGGTGCTCAGCGGTTCAGTTCCTTTTCCTGTGCCGTAAACAAGGTGTCGAACACACTCGTTATTCACGCGGTGTTCCCACCAGATGTGAGCCAAACTGCGAACGCACCAATGGTTGAACATAACTAGCCTCTTCAGGTCCGCTGCTTTAAGCAGCCAGGTTTCACAACCGTACAGTAGGGTCGAACGTACCGTTCATCACCATCGTTTTCACGTCAAGGAGAATGTTGTGACTTTGTCGTCTGTCCTGCATTTGACATACCTGTATTATTTGCTATACACACTATCGTGCTTTATCGCCCACATACTCTGCTTCCCAGATGAGTAAAGCCTTATAAATCGGGCCAGCACCTTCTTCTCTATGTGAACCGACGTGCACGTTCGCTAGTAGGTCGTATCACTGGACTCACGCCACAAGTCACAAAGTCAAAGTGATGGCGAGGAAAAAACCAATATATATATATATATATATATATATATATATATATATATATGGCTGTGGTGCCCCACGCTGAGGCTGATGCTGCATTCATAATGCTTCTTCACCGCAGTTGGGCTAAACCAACTTACACTTAAACCAGGTCTTTTTAATGTGGATAAAATTCTCTACATTTTATTTGGTTTGTTCTGCGTACTTGATAATCTTCTCCCAACTAGCACACGTCGTTCATGCAAATTGTGAAAACATGGCTTAATTGTATCGCGTGGTATTTTTTTAAATAACTCGGAAATTTTGTATTTATCACGGATTCACTCACAACGAATTTCTTCTATATGCTCATTTAGCGAGTATTTATGTCGTCATATGCGTTTACTTTATTCGATATCGGCATTTGAGTGATTGGGTGTTGTTTGACATCCCAAGTGTGACTGCGCTTGATGTGCATGTTGACAAGGTGACTATCTGTCTATTACCCACTACCTCCTACATACTGGCTCTAGGAGACAGTTGGTCGTTACTGGAGGGGACGGGGTGCACGGGCCTTGTGGTCGTGCTAGGCTCGAAGAGTGGTTCCATGCACTCAGTGTGGAGCGGACTACGGTCCAGCCACCGCCTTGTGTGCGCTTGACTCCCCAAATACAGCGTGTTTGTGTTTGCCTGTGAAGGAGTGTAGGCCGGCTCCGTTGATGAAACGTGGCTCCCATCTACATGCCTTCGATCTTATTTCTTCGGGTTTACACTGGATATGGGGTGTGTGGTTGGAGCTGTAGGTGGTGCATCGCAAGCCAACCGTGGTCCCCTTGTAGGCGCAGGCATCCTGCGGTCGGCCACAGTGACAGGCAAATCCGAAACCGGATGCCGCCAACCGCATATATATATATATATATATATATATATATATATATATATTCAGTGCACCTTACTGACCTATCGCAGCATGGTGTCAATAAATAAATAAAGAAAGAAACGGGTTATTCTTCCATGATGCGTGGCACAATCCAACTGATTGGACTGATCAATTTATACGTCGAGATCGCATCAACTAGTTGTTTATTCACGTTTTGTATAATGGATCCCGAATTCATTTCTGAAGTGAATAGCAGTTTGATAGTATCAGAGAGCGTAAGAGACTGGGAAAATTAAGAATCGTCAGGTTAGCCGAAAGTACAAGTAAAGTAATACGGTCATGAAAGGAACCGTTCGTATCAAGCAGCCGTGGAGGGGTAAGCATCACCTAGACAAATTTCTCAAGAAACTTCAACGATACCATTGTTGACAGAGGAGTACTAGGGGGACTTGAATGGTCTCGGTGGAAATTAGTCACGTCTGGACTCACTCGGACAGCCGTCGCACGCCCGGAAAAGCACTGTACACGCGTTTCATTCTTTCGGGAATTGTCAGCAGTGTGCATTCCATCGGACCCTGGTAGGGCTCGAACCCGCAACTCGACTGTTACCAGTCCGTGGTTGAGACCACTGAGCTACGGGGGACGGCAACGACTATCGTAAATAAGTTACCAGATGTGATATAGTGCCACTCACTATCCATTGACTTACACGTTACTGCCATGCAGAGGGCAGGGTAGCCCCCACACCAAGCGACGAGCTTTCCAAACTGATGCCGCCAATTAACGTATGGCGTTGTAAGCAGTTTGGTCTACCTACTGATTACAGAGGAGGAGGAGTAGTGGGAGTTGAATGGTGTCGGTGGAAGTTGGTCACATCTAGGCTCACTCGAACAGCCGTCACACTATTCGTGTTGG